ATATGTCCACTAAGTCCATTTTTTCCAACTTCTGGTTCAGTTCTGCTTCTCCTTTGCTAATTTCTTTCTGCTAGACCTATATCTTTGGTCAGTTAAGGGGTTGCTAAGGGCTCCCGTTAAGATTATGGTATTTGATTTAGATTTTACACGTCCATTAAGATTTGTGTTATAGGGGGCTGGGGAGATAGCTCAGTAGAATAAGTGCTTGCCTGCCAAGTGCAAGGTCCTGAGTTTGATCCCTGGAATGGAAAGAAAAAAAAAGATTTGTCTTATACAGTTGTGTGTTAGCTCAGTTGATGTGTACATATTTATGACTGTTACCTCTTCCTCTTGTATTTTTGCCCTAACCAGTATGTAGTGGCCTTCTTTATTTCCTTTGATCATTCTTGGCTTGTAGTTCAGACTGCCTGTGATCAAAATTGCTACCCCTAATTTTTTCTGTGGTACTGAGGAATATAGTATTGTTTTTGATCCTTTGACTTTCAGCCTATAAGTTTCTTTATGATTTTAGTGTGTTACTTTTATAGAGTATATGGTTGGAGTTTGCTTCCTAATCTACTCTGCCATTGCATTTCTTTAATTGGAGGACATAGTCCATTTACACTGATGTTTATAAATGAGATGTATGGATTTATGATTGACGTGTTACTTATCTTCCTCTGAATGCCCCTTTTTTCTCCTGTGTTTGTTTGCCCTATTTGGTGGGTTCTTTCCATTATCATTCTTGGAATTGTGGTCATTTTGGTCCCTCTCTAGGATATCTTTTACTAGTCTGTGTAGATTTGGCTTTGTCATTATGAAATTCCTTTTTCTTAGTCACAGCAGTATTTCATTTCTCCATCACACTTGAAAGAGAGTTTGGCAGGGTATAGAAGTCTGGGCTGCAATTTGTTTTCTTGGAGGACTTGAAGTACTTTATTCTGTGCTCTTCTTGACTTGATGGTTTGTAAGGAGAAACCTGCCATCATTCTGATGGGTTTTCCTTTAAATATAATCTGTTTCTTTTTTCTCACGGTTTTTACCATATTTTTCTTGTGTTGGATTTCTGGGATATTTATTATTATATGTCTCTGTGTGTTTTTAATTGGGTTGATATTACTTGGCATTCTACATGCTTTGGTTAGGTGAATGTCAGATTGTTTCCTCATATTTTTGAAGTTTTCTGCTATTACTTTTGCTCATATACTTTTCATATCATTTGTATTGACTCCTTCTTTCTCATTGATTCCTATTAGTCTTACATTATTCATATTTACATTGTCTTTCAGATGTTGAACTATTTTTTCCTCCATCCTAGTTTTTTTAAAGAGCTCTTTGCTTGCCTTTTCACTAGCTGCAATGTTGTCTCCCAGCTCTGAAACTCTACCTTCACTTTCTTTCAATCATCTTCTCCAGCTTTTGATTCAGGTTTTTATTTTCATGTATGTCTTTCTGAATATGCTTCATGCATTTCGTTTCTTTCCTATATTTCTCATTCAAAAATTCCATCATTTTTCTATTCTCCTCTATTTTTTATCAGTATCTTGCTTTTGTTTTGCTGCTGTTCTCAGCTTCTTCCTTCTGCAGCAAGCCAGGTCTGGGTTGCAGCTTGAAAGGGATTGGGTGACTGTGCACAGAAAATCTCACACACATTTAGGGGCTGGGCTTTGGCTGGAAAAGGGATGCAGGGATCAGGCAAGCAGGTGTAAAGACAAAACATTTTAACTGCTTTCATGAAAGTGGTATCTTAGTTTGGAAAAAGTCCTAGAATAATGAAATTATGTATTATACTAATTGTCTTAAAAAGCATGTAATGCCTGATTTTATAATTTGAAAATATTGGAATTCTTAATAAAATATTAGAGAATGTTGTACTTCTTTATTGACAATATAGTACAAACCTCTTTTTATTAATAATTCTGTTGAAAGGTTCCTCATTTTGGTCTTTTTCTCACTTTTGGATGTATAATCAAATAAGTACACTCTAATATTGTTTCTAACTAATCTTACTAAAGTGCCTCAAGAATTATCACATAGAACATTAATTCTCAAGCATAGGATGCATTTTCTTCATGTATACAAAATAAATTTATCATCACTAACTATCTGAATAAAACATTCCTTAGACATAAAATGCAAGTGCTATTTTTCAACAACCATGAATGTTCTAAAATTCAAATCTCTACAGAATGTTTTTAAAGCAATTACACATTTTTACACAGATATTTAGAAATCAAATCATATACAACATTGTAGCAGGACAATCCTATGACAGTTTGTCTTTCTTGTCCCTCATTTACTTTTGCTAACATTTTTTTACATACATTTACTTTAAAGGGAGTATGACAATAATTGATATGACATTGGGAACAGTACAAATTTAGAAGACCAAGATGACAGGTATACAGCTTCTCTAACAGCAGTGGAACACCCAGGCCTGACAAAACAAAACAGGGAGATATAAATAAAGAACCATTTTATAGTGAAAAAAATATATACACAAAATAAGATAGATATACAGCTACTTTCTCTTAGTTCAATGGGAAGAAAGATTTGTACTAATAGTGTTTGGACAAGATATCATGTTTGCATCTTGTCCTCTGAATAACTACTAAGAAGAGAACAATATACAATGTATTAATTATTATAACAGTCCTACTAACTTGTTTCAAAACTGTTTCATTGCTATTTTCTCTCATTAAATGAATGAAAAATAAAATAATACTCACTTCTTCAAAGTAAACCTAGAAATGTCTATTTAGATCACATTCTTAATGTTAAATTGTTTTATCTTTCTTTTTATGAAAACATGAATCCAGCCCTAAGTCACAAAGGTTTTTTTTTTCCTTGTGATATTTTCTTCACCCAAACCAGTCTTCATACAGAAAGAACCAAGATTGCTTCCATAATGAAATCTCATATATAGTTCAGATTTTTATTTCAGAATACAATATTCTTACAATAAGGAAGATCCATATATTTGTAATTCTTCTTTTTCTCTACTCATGCTGACATATTATTGTCAACTATAAATATTTATAGGTGATCAGATGTGCTTAGAATGAAAGTTGTCTATGGTTGTTTTCTAATTCAAAACGTATCTCCCATCGAAGTTCTGACCAGGCCCAACCCTTCTTAGCTTCATGGATCAGATGATATTAGGCACATTCAGGGTGGTATGGCCATATATATGATAGTGCATGCCTGTAATCCCAGCACTCAGAAGGCTGAGGCAGGAGGATTGATGAGTTTGATACTAGCCTGGGCTACAAAGTGAGCTTAAGGCCAGCCTGAACTTCATAATAAGATCTCAACTCAAAAAGAAAAAAAAATGCATCTGAAATTCTAAAGACTAAAATATGGTTCACTGAACTGCATTAGAATTTGATTCAAGACTTTCATTGGATTTTAACATATTAATCATATTTGCATAAAATACAAACTTGCTTTTAGTATTTAAAAACTACAAGAAATATTCTACATTTAACATTTTCACTCCTAAGCCTTCTCAAAATAAATAGTAAAATGACTGAGAAATTATGGGTGAAATTATTATCTCTCTTCATACTAAAATTCTAACTAGAAAGAAGACTGAAATTCATTTATTTCAAATGATTTTAATATTACTGATCTTTTATCTGCATTTTTTTTTTGGTACTGGGGATTGAACTCAGGATCATGTGATTGCCAGGGAAGCGCTTATTCTACTGAGCTATCACCCCATCCCTGATGTATGTTTTTACACTATAGTTTATATTATCTGTATTGTAATGACCCCAAAATCTTTGGTAAATACAGAATTTTTGAAAATTTTTAAATGCATAATTTCTATAGAATTGTAGAGAAAAAAATAATTGTAGGACAAATATAAATCAGCTTGAGTATGGGCATTTAGGTGGTTACACCAACAAATGGAAATGTTAGTTAATGTTAGTGTTGAGACTGTGGAAATTATTCTTTTATATATATGATGTTATTTTAGTACACCACGTTCAAGAGATATTGCACCTTATTGGAAGCCTAAGTCTCTACTCAGGACATTCTTCACCATAATGACATTAAATTGACAAATCACATTGAAATTCATAATTATATGAAATGCATTTATCTTGCCATAGTTATTTCACCTATGGATATTAATTATGAATGTTGTATTGATTTTGTAGCTTTTGTCCTTTAACTGAAATTTTGTAACTGTGATTATGAAAGCATCTCAACATTTTTATCGTTTCACAGAACTAAATACCATCAAAACACATTTAATGTTTCTCCATCATTAAAACTTTAGTTTTACTGGAAAAAAACAAAAGAGCTCTGTCAGTTATACCCACTATCTGGGTATAATGCTATCATTATGCTGAGGATTAGTGCAGTAAGGATAAAGATCAAGCAGGATGGCTGTGGCCCTGTGTGTTATTTGACCATGTGATCTTTTAGCATTGGACCTGGAGCCCAGTACAATTGTTAACTTTGCCTTTCCAATGCACTGAGGAAAGTATGGGACCTTTCATCTTCTTCCCTTAACAAAAATGCTTTAGGAAATCATGTTTATAAAAAAGATGTATTCTTTCTCGCCTGGGCATAAACTCCTTTTATGACTTTATGAAAAGCAGCCTAGATGTTTAAAACATAATAAATACATATTTTGAAAGGAAAAATCTAAAATGAATATCGTGGGTGTGCGCGTGTGTGTATGCGCGTGCGCGCGCGAGCGGGTGTGTGTGTGTGTGTGTGTGTGTGTGTGTGTGTGTGTGTGATATCTTGGCATTGGCACAAGCAAGGGGGAAGTTACTCAGCACGGTGTGCCGGGTTTTCTCGTGCCCCGCCCGCCTTCCTCCAACCCCCAGCTACAGACCCTTGGTCTCTGGGTTGATCTGTCCTTCCGAAAGCGACCCTTGCTCATCAGTCCCCACTGGGCCTGCCAGCCGCGCCTGTTCTCTGCTGACTCCGCCCTGCGTCTGTCGGGACCCGCCTCGCGTCTGAGCTGACCCTCTGCGCGTCTGCCAGTCAGTCCCTCCGGACCTGCCGCCAGCCTCAGGCTGCAGAAATCACCGCGCCTCACTTGGTCCGTACCCAGTGGGCATCTTGGGTATCTGGGCGGTCTCCGGTTCCCCGCGCGTTTCTGCTTCTGTCTCTCTGTCTGATCTGCTGCCTGCAGCCTGCCTGCTGTCCCAGAGCACCAAGTGTCCAGTGTACCCTTTCGCTGACGCTGAGTGCCGAGCGGCCTTTTAGTAAGTTGGGAGCCCTCCGGGGAGCCGCCAGGCAGCCGGCGGAGGAATACATACTGGGCCCCTGCCCTTGTTGATACAATTATTTAAACCAACAGGAGCTCGAGGCCTATATTTATGAAAAAAAAAAAAGAAAGAAAGAAAGAAAGGAAAAAAGAAAAAAAAAAACGGTCGCGAGGCCTCAACAATGCTAGATAGATGTAGGAAGGCAGCCAGCTGCTTGATGATTTCATAAAATAAACGGGGAAAGAGTAATTGCATACCGAATACAGGTTTTTGAAACTGGTTTTAAAATCTGAACGGGTTAAAATTTTAAGTCCCTTTAAGGAGAACATACTCATTATGGGGTGCCTTTATGTCTAATGCGTTTGTTCTGAGCCTGCTGACCAGCTGTTTCTGAACTTCATTTTCTCAGCCTCAACAGTGATTCTGGGTCTGCTTTTAGCTTGCCTTCGTCTGCCTTGGTTTTTTCTGTTCCTGAACAGCTTTTTGGCCCATAGATTAGAGAAAGCAGCCTTTTTCTCTCCTCCGAAAGCCTCCTGTGTCCAGAAAGATGGGGAGTGGGGAGCCTAATTCTGCAGGCAAGAAAAAGAAGTACCTCAAAGCTGCCCTATATGTGGGTGACTTGGATCCAGATGTCACCGAGGACATGCTCTATAAGAAGTTCAGGCCTGCTGGCCCTCTGCGTTTCACCAGAATCTGCCGTGACCCAGTGACCCGCAGTCCCCTGGGCTATGGCTATGTGAACTTCCGCTTTCCTGCGGATGCTGAGTGGGCCCTGAACACCATGAATTTTGACTTGATTAATGGCAAACCCTTCCGCCTCATGTGGTCACAGCCAGATGACCGTTTAAGAAAGTCTGGAGTTGGAAATATATTCATCAAAAACCTGGACAAATCTATAGATAATAGGGGTCTGTTTTATTTATTTTCTGCTTTTGGGAACATTCTCTCCTGTAAAGTTGTATGCGATGACAATGGCTCTAAGGGTTATGCGTATGTGCATTTTGACAGCCTGGCTGCTGCCAATAGGGCTATTTGGCACATGAATGGAGTGCAGCTCAACAACCGCCAAGTGTACGTTGGCAGATTCAAATTCCCTGAAGAGCGAGCAGCTGAAGTCAGAACCAGGGATAGAGCAACTTTCACCAATGTTTTTGTTAAAAACCTTGGAGATGACATGGATGATGAAAAACTGAAAGAAATTTTCAGTGAATATGGGCAAACTGAGAGTGTTAAGGTAGTAAGAGATGCTAGTGGGAAATCTAAAGGGTTTGGATTTGTGAAATATGAGACCCACGAGGCTGCTCAAAAGGCTGTGTTAGACCTTCATGGAAAGTCAATGGATGGGAAAGTTCTATATGTAGGAAGAGCACAGAAGAAAATCGAACGCTTGGCTGAATTACGGAGGAGGTTTGAGAAGCTGAGATTGAAAGAAAAAAATCGGCCTCCAGGTGTGCCTATATATATTAAGAACCTGGATGAAACCATGGATGATGAAAAACTGAAGGAAGAATTTTCTTCATTTGGATCAATTAGCAGAGCCAAAGTGATGCTGGAAGTGGGGCAAGGGAAAGGGTTTGGTGTCGTCTGCTTTTCTTCTTTTGAAGAAGCCACCAAAGCAGTGGATGAGATGAATGGTCGTTTAGTGGGCTCCAAACTCCTGCACGTCACTCTCGGCCAGGCTAGGCGCAGGTGGTGAGAATCACAATGCTCAATTCTTTTCAGCTTTAGCTCATGCTACTTATAGTTTGGCCCCCTTTGTAATAAGGAGTTATTTTGTGCCAATTGAAAAGTGTTATTTTTAAGTGAATATTTTCTTTTAAAAACAAACTGAGACTAGATATACTTGTTCATGTAAGTGAAGAACATAATTTCTATTTCTAAAGTCATTTTGTACTATTTTTTGATATAATATCCTTAGAAATATGTAGAATAAAATTTATTCGTCCACATTTTTTCCTGAACAGCCAAGGTGAGAAAATTGATGGAATATATTTCCCTCCTTATTTATTTAAAGAACATTAAATTTAATTTTCTCCTTGCAAATTGTCTTAGGGCGATCTTGCCAAATGTGTCATAGAAAAAATCTTTCACTTGTTTTTCAAGTTATCTATAGGCCAGGTAAAACTATTTGATCCATTTAGAATCTGTGCATAATTTCACTTTAAATTATTATTTTTAAATGAATGTTCTTTTTAAAAGATGTGAAGTTTTTTTATGTATTTTCCATTTAAAATATATTGTGGGCATATTACTGGGTTTTTAGTGATACTGATAAGTGTTGGGATTTGTTTTTGTTAGCTTCATGCCCAATTTTCTTAATCTGTACCTTAAAAAATTAATACTTCAGGCAGTGGCTATTTAAAGCTTAAAAAAACCTTCCTGAGAAAGTTGAGAGTTGAGGACACTATGAACAATTCTTATCACTCATTTTTCTGGAATCTCTAGTGCCTGTACTTAGATAATGTTAAATTAACAATAAACATGAGTAACTGCACTAACTTGCCTTTACTGCAGATAATATTTTACTTTCATCCTCAATCAAGTGTCATTTTTACGTAAAAGTTAAATAATCTATAGAATGATATTGGGAAATTATATTAAAGGACGTCTATTAAACTTATTATCTCTTGTAAATTCTTGAATGTAGCCACTATATAACATACAGAGGTACTTGAAAGTTAAGAAGAAACTTATATATTGTTTAAATCATATACTACCAGTATATGAGAATTATGGACTAAGTTGTCTTTATATTTGGGATGCTAAGAAACTCAAAAAAAATGTTCTGTTTGGTATTGCAGTTACATAATATGCCCTGTAATCTCTTTTTCACCTGCTGTTTCATATTACCTTCACTCTCTGCTTTCCATCCATATTAAAATATATATTTTGTCATTTTTATATGACCTTTTAAAATATATACCAGTTCAGATACATTTATGAAGTAGAGAAATTTATAATTTACATAAGATTGGCCAATTACTCTAAAATATGATTTATTATTAATACAGATCCAATCACAAAAATATTTGCTTCTGTTGTCAGTAGGATTTGTATGGTGTATGAACATTTTCTTACATTGTAAATATATAACATTGTTAACATTTTTGTTAGTTTTTTATGTATTTGGTACAGGTTCTTGTTTTTAGTCTCCCCAACTCTGGGATTACAGGCATGTGCCACCATGCCCAATCTTAGACTTTGAACCATAGAATAATAATAATAAGCTGGTTCTATATATATAGTGGTGCCTCAGTATACAAACTTAATTTGTTGTATGATTTTGGAAAAGATGGCCATGTTTGTATTTGTGCAGGAAAGATGGCTGTGGTTATGGTTGTCACCAGATGTAGAGTGTGCAAACTAAAACAAGCTTTTCCCAAATACTCTTGTTTGGATGCATGTTCACCATAAAAATGTACACAGTACAAAATGAAGCAAAATTATCAAAATTCAAAATTAACACTATTGTCAGATTTGGTGGCACATAACTGTAATCCCAGCTGTTAGGAAGCTAAGGCAGTAGGATTGCCGTGAATCTGGGGCCAGTCTGGTCTACATAGTGAGTTCAAGGCAAGCTTGAATGACATAAAAGGAGACTGCCTTAAAAAGTTTGACATAACATTCCATACATTACTTCTAAGCATATCCACAATTTAAAAATTCCCACATGTATTGTACATCTTTAGTTTAAATAGCCATAACTATCCTTTTGTGGCACTAAATATTAATCAACATTATTTTAGTACCTGTGTAATATTCCATTTTTAGATGTACTAGAATGTAATAGCTTGCTACTGAATATTTAGATATTTTTATTAATTTTTATATTATAAACATGATGTGATGAATATTTTTTCTTATATATGAAGTTGAAAAAGCTATTTACAGGATATGTAAGCTTAAATTCAAAGGTGAAATGAAACCTTACATCATGTTTATATGTGCATCAAAAATTTGGAACACTTTTAATATATATTCTGTGTAAAATTATCAACAGAAAATCTGAAATAAGAGTGGTTTTCAGGTATTACATCATTTTGATCATAAAACCTTATGAAGACTATGAAACTTGAAGCAAAATTTAAAATAATTATATTAGTAGTTGTGTATCATGTATATTCTCTATTTCTTATTATCTATTACCACTTTTCTTTTAAACTCATAAATCTCAAGTATAACTGTTAGCTTGAAACTTTTAAAAATGCTTTGATTTAGTATGAATCTAGAAAGATGTCTGGAAAGTAAAAATCATCAAGTATACGCATTTAATAGCTATTTCTGGAATTATGTAAAGATTTAAATTATTGCTGTTTTCCAAATATCAGCCAACATGAAGGATGGTAGACATTAAAACATGTGTAAAGACAAGAAAATAAACCTGTTTAGGATCATGCTAAGCAATGAGAAAATTCAAAATTCCATTTTCAAATATCACTTGGAGAGTATCAATGAAAGACTATTTTAACAAAGAAACCTGGACAGTATTTCAATTTTACATGTTTAATTTTTAACTATGCTTAATGAAAATAAGCCCTCAAAAAATCCAAATCAGAGACAAGGGATTGAAAAAAAAATATTGTTCATCATTGCCTAGTGCAAGTTCATTTATAAAAGTATACTGTTCATGGTTAGGATAAGAATGAATTACTTGGGCTGGAGAGATGGCTCAGTGGAACAAGCTTAGCAAAAGCATCAGGGACCGCAGTTCAATCCCCCAGCACCACATGCCAGCCAGCCCTGCCCCCTGGTGGGCTGAGCTGGCCTCTCTCTCTCTCCTCTCTCTCTCTCTCTCTCAAATAAATAAATAAATAAAATTAAAAAAAAAGAATGAATTACTTAATACAAATTTTGTTTTGTCCTGACTAGCTTTTTGAAGCATTAACTTGTACAAAATTTAAATTTGACTATGGAGAAGAAAGTTAATAACATTTCTTTTTGATCGCAAATTGTCACATTTAAGGTTATTTAGGGAGAGACATTTTGTTTAGGAAGTTTCACATATGTTTTTGCCTCTCTGGTAATATCAATACTCAAGGAAAAAATACAGTAGTATATGGGTAAGTGATGTTTGATGCTAGTAAAAAAAAAAGGAATACTTATTTGTAAGGATAAATTTAAATATTGTGAGAATGCCCTCTTACCGACAAATGATCAGTTTTACAAAAAAAAAAATAAAAAAAAAAAGAAAGAAAGAAAAATACAAATGTTCCCAGCACTTTTAACAATACCTGAATCCACAAATACTGGTTGGATAAATGCATTCATAATGTGTTACATGCATTCGTGTCCTTTGAAATTCTTTTCTAAATATTTAAAGAGTTAAATGAATTGTTACAGAATAAGCCAGTTGTATTAAATGTCCTTTTATGAAAAAATATACTTAGTTATATACTCATACTAAGAATGTTAATGTTTTATCAGAGCTTGGCGTGATCTCATACTTTCAATATTTTGTTTAAACTTCATTGGTGGGTCTTCATTAAACACAAAACTTCTAGAAATTAGCACATCTGAAATAAGTGTATTTGTGGAGAAACACTTTCTATAAGTTAATGTAATGCTCTTTAAAGACAAATACTCTTCTACAATCTGGCTTCTTGAGATATTAGCACTTGCTCATCTGAAATGAATTCATTTTTCTACATTTCAAAGTTTTATTTACGGACCATGAAATGTAATAAAACAAATGGGACCTTGATGCCTCAAGAGGGTTAGTGTATCTCACTTCGCTCCAGGGGATCATAGTTAATATTAAGATATACTCTACCTACCACTGTGAACATTAGAAGAGAAAATCCTGACTAACATAAAGTACTAAAGATTAAATTCTAATGAATAAAAAACAAAGCAATATACCAAATAAAACTCTAACTCTCTCAAGTTAAAGCAAATTTTAAAATAACATTGGTAACCAAAAAAAGTTTGTTCATTAAATCTCATCAAAATTTGAGATCTTCACGATTAACTTTATTATATATTTTAAAAATCATATATTTAAAAATCTAAAGTCCTTTAAAGAAGAAATCAGTGCTGACATTGTATGGCATGACTTTCTCAGAAATTAAAATGAACTTATTTCTTTGGTAAAGAACTAGTCGTTAAGCAAAACACCAGATGCTAGCAATTCTTACATAACAAAATAAACCTTCTATAATGTAGAATAAACAATTTTACATCTTCTGGCAATAGATTTGAAACTTCTGAAGGGGTAAATTATGATTTAGAATATCAATAACCTCATTCTGCACTATTTGGACCTATTCAAAAAGTACGCCTAAGGTAAACTACAGAAAGACAAAAATCTATTTTTAAGTCACCTGTTTGTGAAGATGTTGGGCAGTATAAATCTCTGAATAGAACACATACAGGGAGAAATTTGCAAACTTTTTTTTTAGTGTCACATGTATCAAAACATTTTTATTTCATAAAAATATATTACATTTTAATGATTTTAAAGAAATAAATAACTTATAGTAGTTTTGACAAATGGGAGCTATATATTGGTATGGAGACAGACAAAACAATACAAATCAAGATAAAAATTGATTTGCTAATGAGAAAGAAAAAGAAAATAATTTAGCCAGAGAGACAGCTCACTGGCTTGAGCTCCTGACAAGCAAGCACCAGGTCCTGAGTTTAATCCCTGGTACAAAACCAAAAATATAAAGTAATTTAAATTATGTTGTTTAAAGAGCAGGAGATTTGTAAATAAATTAAAAAATAAAAGAAAAGTACAGGAAAATAAGTAGTAATGTCCAGGTTATAATTATAGATGAATAATATAAAGACATTATTTTAGCTCCTTCTGTATCTAATGCAAGGTAGAAGACCAAAAACATTTCAGATTCAATTTGGGCAGGTATTCGTATCATTGATGTGTCTACTTCAGTAATTCTAATCCTCAGAAGTATTTATTTTGTAAGTAAATTTCCTTAATTATTGGTGCTAATCCACCATCTACTGTG